AGGAAGCACATACGTTGATAAGGAAGACCACTTGATCATTAAATCGGTGCTCCATTTGTTCAACCATAGTGTCAAAATTTTTTAACATTTCTGAAGATTTGACTCATTATTTAAGAATCGGCCGCACAACAGAAGCTGACATTAGATACTGTATATAAAGCCTCTATAAAAAAAGAAAGAAAAATAACATCTGTAAAAAAGACTGAAAAGTTAAAATATTTCAAGGGGAAATTATTTGGCACAGGGGAAATTCCTCCTGTTCACTCCCCGAATTCAACACTGTGTAAATGTACAAATTTATCAAAGACTATTTTGTCTATTGAATAGCTCTCCTAAAAATGCGTAAACAGATTTTTGTTGTATGCATGTGTTATATACTAGAAAAGGTTAAATTATGCTTATTTAACCTCCATTTGAAAAACCCGTTTCTCTAGTTTATTTTGTTATTGTTGACAAATTTTCCTGAGACGTTCTTATTAGCAGAATAATTTTATTAAGATCTGTTTATATGTCGTCTTGGTTGTTAGTGCCATGAAATATGTAATAATCTAGTACAAACGACTAACAACTGTCGTGAGAGAACCAATAATAAATCATTATTGATTACTCCAGATGGAAACACTGAAATTCACTTCACCGGAATACGCTATGTTTACTATTATAAGGTAGACCTCAAAGTGTCAGAAAAACACTGCCACTTATGTGTTATAAGTATCAATCAAATGTTACTGAAACAAAATCTTTAAATTTTATTAGTAACTATTTCTAAGTAATTACCTGTAGGTGTAAAAGGTAGATTATAAATTGAATTAAAACTTGCAAGATATTTTTAGTGACTAGTTTTTTTGGTAATGTCTTGTGTTAATAGTATTATTGATTGAAAATAAATTGTAAAGTAGTATTTTACTTACGATTTTGTTACCACTTTCTGGGAATAGCTTCTAAGAGTGAAGGATATAAAACTGCATATTTTCTTCTATTAAATCTAATATTATATTCAGATTTTAAGTACAAGGGAAATGAACAGATTTAATATTTCAGTCTTCTACTTTTAAAATGCAGGAACAATTTTTAAATTTTCTATCTTGAACTGTGCAACTTCCGTTTAGAGGTTTGAGTACGTTATATTAGAACGATTTTGATTATGCAAATAAGTAAGTCACGTGACAAGCGCAATCAAAATAAAATCGTGGTGGAACGGAAGGTATCAGAACTACATTTGGACATTGCTTCGCATTACGTAAGAATTACAATGCCACCTAAAACTGATTGCTTTTGGAATGGGCATGTAACAGTCCTTTTCGGTACAACATATTCATATTTCAGATTGGAAATTTAGAAGTTCCAAGCTGGAGATATCCATAATTTCTAATCGCATTGAAAAACAAAGGAATATGGATCAATTTAGGATACAAGAACCATCCAGATAGAGACCTACAACAAGTTATACTCCAGATTTGGTAAGCAGTTGCGGTGTCTTGTAACTGGTGAGAATCCGCAAACACAAATAACAGCGAAAAAAAAAAAACCGTTCACGTTCTCCAAGCACCAGTATGCAACAATCAAGAAAGATCTCAGTTTGGAAAAGAGACACAAGTCACGTGTACACAAGTTGCTTTCACAACGTATCCATACAATTGCCACATAACTCAAACACCTGGAGAATAAAACAGGTATATATATATATATATATATACTATTCCATACGATGACATACTGGCCAAGCTGCCTGACGTAGCGCCTGCGTCATCTAGTACGCCAGGACATGAAGGAAGTAAGCGTTATTGACTCCAGTACTATTGTCAACAAGATTCATGTTCGTCGGATAGAGCATGACTGGCCGTGGCGACGTGGAATGCAATGATGTGGTGCGACATTAAAATCGTTTTAATATAACTTACTCGTCCTCTGTAATTGATAAATTTGTTGTAAGTTTCCTTTTAATCTACATTATATACAATTCATTGATATCTCTATCAGTGGTATAGACAAAACAAAATTGTTATATCTTATGTATAAAGTCTTTTACTTACAAATTGTATCTTTCTATTCTCACAGTCCTTTACTTATGAAGTCTTTGATCAAACGTTGGTGACACAACTTGCCGATGGAAACTGGAAGTTAAGCTGTGGACAGAATATACTTGTTGGTCTTTGGTAAGCTTCTGGTAATTAACTGCTTAAACATAAAAAGTACTTGCCAAATCTTTCATGAACAAATCAATGAAATGTGTATATAAAATAATAAGGAGCATAACGTCCCCCGTTATGATTACAAAGTACATTATTTTAATGAGTATTGTTTCGTTAGTACTTTCTCCTATTTCATTACTGTATTCATAACTTCCTGTTAAAATTTAAATTCTACAGGGTAGTTAATAGAAATTTATCTCATTTTATACAGTTAGTTACATTATAAATTAACGTTTGATCAGCTTTGAAATGTTAGCGCTCAACGACATACAGTAATCGCTTGTTTACAAATAATTAGAAGTATTTTTATTCGAAAGAAAGCTGCTTAAACACAAATTCATTCTCAATTCACAAAACCACACTGTTTCGCTTACAACCTCAAATATGATAATCCAGATTCCTTCCGAATCTGTTCTGGCTCAATATTTGCCAAAATAAAACATGAATTACTCAATACATGCTAATTTAGAGCTTGACTTATTCTCTTTCGAAATTGTGTCTGTTAACTTAAGTTCTTACTGCCACAATTCTTGCCTCATTTTTGCTAATAAAGAGCCTAACTGACTTTGCTTTAGCCTTATGTCTAGTAATTCAGATTCTCATGGAATCTGCTTCAGCCTCACATGTGCTCAGATTAAAACTTATTAATTAGTATCTGCCCATATATTTGCTTGTACATGATTTGACTAATTCTGCTTTGACCTTAGGTCATTTAAATTCAAACTAACCAATTTAAGTTCAATCTTAAAGTTTGCTGTGACTGAGTATTTCTTATTCAGCTCCGACACTTATCTTGACATGATGATATCATATTTTCATTGATTTAGTTTAGGTAACTTTCAGGTTTCCAAATTTAACCTTTTTTATCTCCAAATATTACATTTAAAATAAATACAGAATATATATTTCTCGTCATATATATATATATTTCCCGAACGAATAACTAAGATTTTCTAGAGGGGGTGGGTAGGAGTTGGGCGTTTAGTTCAGTGTTTCTTAACTACTACTAGTTTAGAAGAAATTCATTCCAAAAATTGTTTTCTTGCAACATCCAGGACAAAAGAGGTGTGACTTGGCCATTTAGCCCATGCAATTATGATGCACCATTCAGATTTAAAATTTCATTTCCAGTCACGCATCCTACAGTCCATATATATTAAAAACAGTGAACTATAACTGACTCATTTAATGAGGTGGAAGTGATTAAACTCTCTATAGAATACGTTCAAAACCCAGATACCGAAAATAATCGATTCCTAAAATTGCAACTGGCAAAAAGTATAACAGAAATATTATTGGTTCTTATATCGAGGAATATTATACATTGATTTCATCCATATTCTCACTCTCACCAAGACGACAATATGGACTTTTCAACTTTATTCTATCACAGCCACTAGTCTGCTTGACCACACGCTGACTTGTTGTTGGACCTTTTTCTATTAATACCATCTCAAATATTTCATTTTTCATCAAAACGTGTCAGCTATTTCATCCGACAGTTAGCGGTGGGTGCTATGGATAAGCTGCTTACCCTGTGGACTATCGGTTCAAAATTACGGTTGGTAGACGCAGTTGGTCCTTGTGTATCTTTGCGTGAATATCCGGAACAAAGAAACAGACAAAAGACAATCGCACCCACTGGTTAAATCTGTATTTATCATTCCTTTGTGGAATAATTTTTGTAACGTCAAGCAAGAAAAAGCTTCTCACTAACTAGGGAGTAAATAGTTTTGTTTTAATATATTATAATTATGAATTCTATGTTTTTCCAGAGACATACAGGGAATAGAGGCTGATGACATGCATAAGCTTTAGAACCTTCCTGCTCAAGGGAAGGGTTAATATATTTTTACTGTAGATTCGACAGAAAGAATTTTACTTAGTAACTTGTACGGAAATTCTTACTTTTATAATGAACTAGAATCCTAATCCTGATCCAAAGAAAATTACTGGAATTTTATAGATCCAGATAAACGTAATCATAGTTTGATGTCACGATAACAATGTAACTCACAGGTTTCCAAGAATGATCATCAATCTTTACAGGGATGACACTGCTGCCAAAGTGGATTTTGATTTATTGAAATGTGTGAACACAAAGGATATGGCCCTACAACAGGGGGGAAAACAATTTGAGGTTGAAGTTTCTGAAACAAACCAATGTCCTCGCAACTCTGTCATTAGTGGTACAGTATCATTTTGGCACGATTAATATATTAGTGTGTAAGTGTATGTGGCCCTGTATATATATAGTGTAAGCACTTTTGAGCACTCATTCTATGATCGAGATTGTATGACTTAGAGCTTAATTAACATTTACGTTAGTTAACGCTGCATATTTTTTTTCAGTCACAATTTATAAAATTTCGTTAATTAGCACAATAAAATAAATAGTGTACACTGTGAGTGAATAAGAGACTTTACACTTCTTTTAATATTATTTCTTGGTCTGCAAAAACAATAAAATGAAGTCGTTAAAGATTGTATTATAAATTAATACTGATTATAGGCATTAAAATTATTTTATTATTAATGTAACAAATTTTATTACCCGGATGCTGACATTTAAGTTTTTGCTCGCTAAATTTTTCCCGAAATCCATTCAAGTAAGTAGGATGAATGTGTTTTATAAGTCAGTAATAATTTCTTTCACCCAAAGATTACTGCAGGATGTATATTTTACTATAAACAACTATTTACGAGAACTAGTTTGTATAATTTCAACGTAACAAATATATTTAAACATTAAAGTCCCAAACTCTTTCGTTGAACATTATAAGTTCAGAAAACGGGCCTACTGCGTGTTATGTTTTTCATGTCCTCTTCTCAATCTGCCACCTACGCGTCTATCTAGCTATTAATTTTCATTGCTTATTAGTGTTTGCAGGGACTTAGATATTTCCCATAAACTTTTTTTTTTCGAACAGCGTTTATTTCTACATCAAACAACATGGCCAATGTGGTTAAACTGGAATGTTCTCTTGTTGGTCCTGGATGGTTAGTCAACTCTTTTGACTGTTTTACAATCATGAGAACAAAAAACGAAGCAAAAGGCCCCCAAACCGCTTATGACAAGTGGAAATTCGAGTGTCTTCAAAGAGATGATAAGGTAATGGCTGTGGTTAGCTTCTTAAATGACGAAACTCTCACAATAAATTGTTGCAGCTTGATTCAAGTCAAACCAATGAGTACTACAAATTAAAGTGTACAAGATTATGAATATTAATTAAGAGTTCTTAAATCAACAACAACTACATTGGCTTTAAAACGATATATTTTAATCTCACCCTTTTATTTATTTTTTCATTAAAATGAAAATAAAATAACCCAAAAACACAGAGCTTGCGCAAATTTCGATGATCTGATATAGAGCACCTAAACTTCTGATGGAACGAAGCTTAGTAGGTATAATAGAAGTTAAGAAAATCTTATTTGATTACGGATATTTTTTACCGCGATGATTTCAATTACTTCATTACAGACTTCTGATTAGAGGTGTGTGTGTGTTGCCATGAGTCCATCATTGCTGAAGAATCCGAGTACTGAACTAAAGGCTGTCTATACAGCGATTCGTGACAAACAAAAACATAGGTCTAAAATTATATTTTTTATTTGACCCTGATTCAAAATTCTAAAGGGGCTAATTAGGTAAAAAAACCCAGTAGTCAAATATAATTTTAATGCTCTTTCTTGGTGTTAGAAAAACACGAAGGTTGAAGAAGTCTTGATAGAAATGAATAAAAACCCTATAACCTGAGCGCTTGCCCCTGAAGAAGAAAGGTCCACCTTTCGAAAGCGCTCGGGTTATAGGATTTTTATTCATTTTAATGTTCTTTGTTAGGCTTAAGAAAAAACTTAATGCTTCGTTATCTTAGGCGAGTTACATCACTACAATAAATTTATTTCAATGCATACAAATACCATGTCACATATACGCTGTCGCCGCTTCTACTTCTCTTACTTGTTTCTTCAATTTCATTTCTCTTATGTTGAATGAATATTTCTTTGGCAACTGTTCATCTGTATCTACTTAGTTTCCTACATTAGGATACTTCTACTGGCCGAAGAGAGGACACAACCAGGACTGGCCCACAAGTTTCATTTCTTGGACTGGAATGAAATAGCACAAAAACAAAACAAACGACCTTACCTGCTATATGTCTAGCCCAATGGAAGAGATTGGGTAGCACACTTGTGGCAGACAAAAGACTAAAACGAAATTGTATTTAAACACCCCCTTTCTCAAGTTTGATGATGTTTAAAGTATCTAAAATCAAACATCTTCGCTAATTTGATTTCAAAGGTATGTTGGATACTGATGTCGTGCTGGACTGTTTAGATCGTTCTGTCGTTGTTTAGTCTATAAATGTTCGTGTAGTTGTTTATCATTGTTTTAAATGACTTTTGTGTTATTTTAGAGTTAACAGCTTACTTTTATCGATGTTGTGCTGGAAGGTTCAAGTCATTCTGTCGTCGTTTAGTCTATAAATCTTCGTGTAGTTGTTTATCATTGTTTTAAACGACTTTTGTGTTATTTTAGAGTTAACATCTTTCTTTTATCGATGTTGTGCTGGAAGGTTCAAGTCATTCTGTCGTCGTTTAGTCTATAAATGTTCGTGTAGTTGTTTATCATTGTTTTATAGAACTTTTGTGTTATTTTATAGTTATCGTTGTACAATATTCTAAATATAACAGCGTGTAAATGAACAGCCCAGAAGGCAAAATCAACTCTCCGATCATTTCATTGTCTCTATTTGGTATAGGTTTTCAACATAGAACAACCAACGGGGCAAATGTAAATGAACAGCTCAGAAGGCAAAATCAACTCTCCGATCATTTCATTGTCTCTATTTGGTATAGGTTTTCAACATAGAACAACCAACGGGGCAAATCATTGTTTCTTTGAAACAGTTATCTTTACCGTAATTTGTTCTCAGCAGCTAAAATTATTATAATTCATTTCTCTCCATTAGACTTTATTCTGTTTCTTAGAGTTTATTTTAATATATTTATTACTGTTGTTGTTGGTGTTTAAAATGTACATTAAGGAATATACACAATTTTGATCCCCTCAAAAAAGTATTTTAGATAGGGAATGGAAAGAAGCAGGAGAACTGAATATTTTCTGATACTTTCACACCTGAAAATGTAGCAGAAAACACTGAAAATAACAGTAGTTGTAAGCTTTCACGGCGTTGGGGGGTTATGTAGAGACAACGATGACGAGAACTGGAAAGTTGTAGCTCACAAAAGGAATCGAACCAGTTGTTCATCTACAGCTATAATGGAACGTAAATTAATATATATATATATTTAATCATATGAGCAAGCGGTTCTTATAGCTTTAATAACGGAGATAACCAACTTGTAGTGAGCGCAGTGTACTCAAAATGCAGAGGTCGGTGATTAATTAAATAAGAATGATAATCAAATCACAGTGGAATTAGTGTCTTACCAGCTCCCATATTTCTAAAATAGTGTTTCATTATTAAGTTTGATTAAGTTGAAAACGCTCCATCTTCAACGCTCTAGGCATAAAACAACAATGAACAAGCTAAAGGAAGAGACTCTAAAATACAATTAAAAACAGTATTAAAATTACTCCTTTTTCTTTCTTTTCCTGTTAATAGTTCCCCAAGCTCCCGTGTGAAAGATATCGGGTTAAAATGATTAGTGGAAACCAAAACTTTCTCTAACACGTGTTCTAAGACTGTTTTGTGATGTACATATTTTTATGCATAATATGATACGCAGCCGTTATACACATTTATTACACAATATGTTACGCAGCCGTCACATACATAACCGTTATACACATTTACTGTACAGAACTGCATTACTTGTGAGTTGTCATGTTATTAAGATTTACTTTTGTTATGAACTGGAGTATTTCATGTCTTCTTTTTTTAAATTCTTATTGATCTAGTTAAGGCATAAACGTTTGTTTTTATGTATTCCATAAACCTCGTTAATTTTTCGAAACTTTGTAAACAGATATTTATTTGTCATACAAAAAAATCGGTTATTGTAATTTATTTAGGACGTTTTCAGACGTTTAATAAATTGTTTGTATTTATATGTTAAAACTATCCATGTCATAACACGTGTCCTGTCAATAAATTGTGTCACACAACACAATTCTATAAAGGTGTCCGTTTTATTTTGATAGAGTGTCACATCTCTTCTGAAGTTTGAAAATCTTTACTGCAGATTTAGTCTTCTCTCATATAGGTAATATTTAAAAAACTGATGAATTAATAGCCTTATATAAACCACCACTCAAAATCTGAGCAGAAGACACTGAGAATAGATATTTTAAAATGTTGTTAACTCCTATTTGCTAATTAAAACTCTTAAAGCTTACTTAAAATATGCTGAATTTAATTAATTGCTTTACGAAAAAAATTACCCACCATCCCCTCAGCTATGGACTAACAGATAAGGTGTATATTTTGATTCAGCGTCTCCTCTACATTACGATGAACAATATCGTTCCTTTATGATGAATTGACTTGCCGTCAGGAGCTATGAAATGTGAAATGCCTAATATGATTATTGATTGATTCAATGAATCTGTTAGGAAATAGGATGCAGTCATATACATATATATATATATTTATATGCATAGTTAAAAACTTAAACACCATCTATCTATCTATGAAACTGTAAACATTTTCAGACATTTACAATAAATGCTTAGGGTCTAAAAAGATTACTTATTGTTCACTAAATTATTTTGTAGCATAAAATAACCATAAAGGTCGTCAGTAAAATATTTTTTCTTTGAATTAACAGATGGCAGTAACAGCAGTTCAATGGTGCAATTTTGTGGTAAACGAAAATCATAGGGAATATAGTTTCAGTGTAATGCCCATTTTCTGAGTAGTGATTAACTTTTCCATAAATCTTAAGCCACTTTTTTACCTCTTCTCTCATAAAGCGTTTTTTATTGACTTAAGAAAAATAAGAACGAATGGTGTACTTTTGATGAATATTCGTAATGTGAACTATAACAAGGGAAGTAGAAGTATTAATTAAAATACATCATGACATAAAAAACACAAACACACATATACGTATTTCTAATACTATAAAGTTTGCATGTTCTATGATTTCGGCGCTGGTAAAAAAATAGAAAAACATATTACAAAAATAAATAAATACAGAACAGTACTAAAAATTATTGAATTTATATTTTGTATGTATGGTAAAGTTACTAAGACTACCTGCTGCTGTCCTTAAACATGAGGTACTGACCATTCAGGTGCACCCTACTACCCACCATCCACGAGTAGGGATTAACTGTTCCTCTTATAACGCAACCACAGCAAGTGCATATAATATTTAGTGGTAATCGCATAGATTCGAACATAGCTCACCAGCTCCAATATCCAGAGCTCTACTATAGAGAAAGGTAAACGAGATGTGGTTAGTGTGAGCTATAAGTAAACTAAATATATTTTAATTGAGGTTGATAACGTGGGTAGAATTCATAAATAGATAACAAGTCGTCATTAGGCTGCGATACAATAGCTGAAAGCTTTACAAAACAAAAAAAAACAACAACAAAAAACATGGTATTTACCCATTTAGTACATACTTACAAGTAAAAATAGTAATTGAATCAATTTTTCCACATATGAATCTGCTTATAAAAGTAACAATTAAACCAAATTTGAACTAATGACAGACGTTTATAATTTAAACTGCGTCAAAGAAAAAAGAGGTTTTCCCAGCGACATCTGTCGGTTACACAAGACTAACAATAGAAATACAAGCCTTTCCTTACAAAACCCAGGACTACTATATCGATCAGGTAGGTGGAACTCCTCGTCTTTATTAAACGGACAATGCAAAAAAACACACCAGACAAAAGGACTTAAACCTTCATACCAAGCAATGGCAGGCACTACGTCACTATCTCTTAATATTTGTTCTTTTCATTGTAGTATATTATTCCTTTCTACGAAAAACCATAGAAGTTTGTTTGTTTTTAAGCACAAAACTACACAGTGGCATCTGCGCTGTGCCTACTATGGGAATAGATCCTGGAACTACAGTGTTATAAGCCCGCAAGGGTTACTGTGGGAAAAACATAGAAAAGTTTCAGAAGGTGATGGTAAAGCCAAATTGGCAAAAACAAAACAAAACAAAAAAACGCTTTAGGTTCTTAAGTTTTTGATCTGGACAAGAAAATGAAAGAAAAACAAAAACAAGCAAACAAAACAATGTATGTAAAATAAATTTTATAATCTTGCCATAACTTTACATTTGTCTCTATAATATTATTCAATAGAAAGTGTTTTCATCCCGGCTTCTAATAATGCCCACTAGAGGGATATAGAATTAAAAATAATTATTTTGGTCATACAATCTGATGAAACTAAAAGTTCTCGCTAGTGGTCTATATATATATATATTTAAATAATCACCATGTATAGGAGTGTCAAGACACTTTAAATAGTTACATTTACACGTAGAACGAAAGTTTAACTGTAATATTAGAGGTCTGGTAAAGTAAATAACTGGAATCTGATAACATAATCTAATTATATGTTAACAAGAAACACCAGTGTGAGTAATAATATTTGTACAACGGAACCTAGAACGCTGGAAAATTATATGATTCTATATAAAACTGTGATATTACAAGGTTATTTTATGTTTATTGCTTCTCACGTACCAGTGTAATTGTGATTTTACTTCATAACGTGAAAGCGAGCAACATTAGATTTTATGGCATGGCATGAACGATAACAATGTCTCGTATTAGCTGAATACCCTACATTTATGAGATAACGTGGTTTTCGTCGCTGACGAATGAAAGATATGCTGAATTATACTGTTATTGTTGGAATGGCGAGAATTTTGTATGTCAGGAGATTAGTTCATCAACCAGGAATGACAAAATATACTATTACTGCTTAAACATGAGGGTATATCCCACATTAATAATAAAAAGTGAGGGAGCATAACCTCCCTCCGTGCAAATTATGCCCATGAACACATTGTTATCATAAGAACTGTGAGTAAGTTAAACCCATAAATTATTTTAGAAAATTACATTGTATATTAGCATTCTTAGTTGGACAAAGCATCTGCTAGGAACCCCACCCACTCTTCGTTTTCACGTTTTCAGTTAACTTTACAACTAAACAAATCGATAGATGAATTTACCAAAAAAATCTTAAACTATAAGGATAACTTTACTACTGTAAAAAATATTTAATCAGCGAGACATCATTTGTCATATTGAATTACAAGACAAATACAACAGCGGAGTTTGGTTCTGATGGTATCTATATAAATGTTGGGTATCTGCTTGTTTGTTAATTTCCGGTAGAAATTCTTTCCGAGGAACTTCAGCGATACAAGTCCTTTCTTGATTAAACCAGTTTATTCTTTCTCGATACAAACTTTTAGTACACAGTAATTCTACAGTCAGTACGTTTCTC